TTAGACTGATGAGAGGAGAAATTGGCATACTAGATTAGCAGGCATTTAACTAGATAGAAAGTTGCATAGGCAGGTAAGTATGTATCATTACATTCTTTTAGCAACTAGCCCAGTTGCTAGAGTGAAGAAGTTATAACTGAGCTGACTGTAAGAGTTAAAGCTGTACTTAAATACTGAGTTACATGGCCCATGTACCAGTAAATGGGAAAAGAACAATGACTGAAATCTTTAGTAATTATTTTTGACATCTGGATTTGCACAATTAGTATTTGTTCTTATGGGTGGATTTGCCTACTATTTTACATTATTAAAAGTCTAGACAGTATATTGGAGTTCAGAGAGATTATTTTTCCCTGAAAATAAAAAACAATAAATATTTGGAATTATCTATTCCTCCACATGGCATATGGTAGCAAGCATTTCTTTTACAAGTATCAGTATTTGAGATATTCTATATCCAATGTAATGTTTTGTTTTGTCTTCTTTTTCATGCACTAGGATTTGTATTAGCAAAAATATAAGACACAGGATTTGTATTAATAAAAATATAAATATATATCTAGCTATCCAGCAAGATAGCTCAGTGGACTAAGAGCCTGCTTAGGGAAGCGTAGGGACCTAGGTTTGAGCTCCAGTCCCACATGCTGTGCTGCCCGAGCACAATAAGCCTGCGACCAAGTCTGGGCATGGTGGTGCATGCCTATGATCTCAGAGCTGGGGAGGCTAAAAACAGGAGGATCACTGCGAGTCTGAGGTGCATAGCGAGACCCTGTACCAAATACATAAATGTGTGTGTGTGTGTGTGTGTGTGTGTATGTATTTAATATAAAACATAGATTTTTTAAATTTAAATCATATCAAGTTGGACACTCAAAAAGTAATTTATTGATATTTGCATACATTGATTATATTACATGGTAGCCTAAATAAATATTCCAGTAAGAATCAGACACCTGTCTTCTAACACTTATGTATAATTAAGAGAAAAATATTAACTTTTGCACATACACAATATTTTCACTCAAATTATTTTAGCAGAAAGAAAACTAAAGCCTCTTTAAATTTATAGTTCTAAAGTTATACAATGAGGTCATTATTTCCAGAGAATAATTCCTCTTTCCAATTGCCTGAAGCCACTGCCATAATAATTTGATTTAGATTGGAAAAAAAACAATCAAAATCTTTTCAATTAAAAGACATATTTCATTTTCTCATACCTCTGTTCTCTTAATTTCTTCTAAAACTCATTACAAACTAGACAATTTTATTCAGTCCAAGTAACTTCTATAAAAACAGTCAAGGATTGCAATGTAACTATGAAGTTTCAGTGTTATTCATCATTTTATTGAAAAATATATTAACAGAAACAGCTTTGTGTAATATCTTAAAGCAATACATCTTTAAAAATTAGATAACTACAGCTTGTAGTCATGATTAGTAAAATACAGCATTATTAAAATATATTTTGTATGACCTACTATATATATCACTAAATATAATCATTATTATTAAAAGACCAAAGAGCAATCCAAAGGACATTACAACAAATTACTATAATAACAGATATTTAAATTTTTAAAATCAAGATGAATTCTTATAAATATGTATTCTTTTAAACTTAAACCATAATTTCAGAAGAAATATTATCTTCTGAACATTTAGTAATCAAGCAGGATTTCTAATATGATATATAATGGCCAAAATAAGGTTTATACTTTGATTAATAATATGTTTAAAGATATGATGAAGGAAAGAATAATTTAACTATAATTCTTAACTCCAAGTATCTCATGAAGAAATTTACTAGCTCAAGTATCTCATTTATTCTTTCCAACAATTCAGGAAGGGTGCTATTGTTGCCTGTATTCTACGAGGAAAGAGTATGAAACAGAAGACAGGCAGTTAGCTATAATAGCAAGGAGCTATAGCTTGAGGCCACAGAAACTCGAGGCTCCCATCTGTATAAGTAGAAAAGAGCCACATCACCACACAGTGAAGCCAGAGACAGCACCAAAGAGGAAGGAGAATCCTCCTGGAAAGGATCTTCCAAGAGGTGGAGCCTTCAGCAATTAAGAGAGAAGACACCGCTTTTAGTCTTTCAGATTCTGAAGTACTGTATTCAGACAGTATTGATGCCAAGAGGCCTACACAACTGAAAGACTCACTTTCAGCCTTAGCTAGATTCAAGAAGATAAACACTGTTAGCACCCTCAAGGCAAGCCATAAATAGTATTTCTCTCCCACTGGGGAGTGGAGGAGGGGAGACAGCCAGCTCCTTCTTGTAAGAAATAGCATGGAGCTGAGTTCACCTAGGAAACAAGTGCATAGTGCTGACTCTCATTATTTTGAACTTTCTCTTGAGAGGTGTTTACCTAAGATCACTGCTAGTTAGGGATAGAGTAAGAATTTTAAAATAGATGTCAATCCATAAGCCTTCCTTTACTAACATGGAAATTCTTTCATCTACTATGCTACAGTTTTCTCAAGTCAACATCAACACACAACACAAAGTCTCCACTAGGATGTGGAGAAACACTACCCACGCATCCATTTTATCACCTTGTGTCAAAATTTAGGCGAGCCAGTCTTTGTACTCATAACTCTCCTTCAGGAATGCATTCTATGGAAATTATTGTTATTCGTAATTATTCCATTGCAGTATTACTTACTATTGCAACAAAAATAGGAATATTGCAATGCCCACAAGTGAAGGAATATTTCAACACAATTGTTCATTACAGAATTGTTTATGGTAATGTAAGAGACTGGAAAATCTAAGTGTTTGCATGAGAAGTTCTCTAAGATATGTTTTAAGAGTAAAAGTGAAACAAAATATCGAAATAATATCTCATATAATTATGTTAAAATTACAAATAAATGATGGACATTAGAAAGATGATAAAAAGCTAGAATTTTTTAAAATTTCCTATCCATAGTTATTGTTTCTTCCTGAAAGTCTACGCCATACCATGGGTCAAAAACTAAGAACTAAACATCTCCAAGTCATCCTCCTAGGTCTATAAAAGAATCACAACTAAATCCACTAATATCATATTACTTTCAAAGTACACTTGACAGTCACCATTTTAAAGAACTTTCCCTAGTTACCTGATCTGATCCTCACAGTAACTACAATCTGTGTGACTTAGAATAATTCAACAATAATAAAACTATACAATTGTACCATTTGATACCGGTATGAGATTATATTTCCTCATTTTGCCAGCCCTTACTAGGAGTCTAGTATCAGTCAAGTTTTCCAAGTGTTATCAGGTTACAGAGATTAACGTCATTAGACAAAGAAGCAGCTGGAGTGTATTGTTGGTAGAACTGGTTAAGTATTAAAATGTGCCAACAAATAATGCTATTTAAATAACGTATAAGTAGGTGCCATCAGAAAAGTACAGAAAATGGTGGAAACAGTTAAGTAAGTAACCTGTGCATCTCAAACATAAAGAGTCTTTTATAATAGTTTAAGCTCTGAATTTTAGTTGTTCATATCACTTGTTCATTCTTCAACAGCTATTTTGAAATTGAATTGATTCTATAACATTCTATTGTGCTGTGAGATCAAAAGGCAAGCGAATGTGGTTACAGACAAGCAGATCTGATTTCTGGCCACTGCTGTTCCACTTGCTAGCTCTTTGACTGGGAGAGTTACTTAGTTCTCTGAGCTCCTGTGTGGTAAACTATAATTTCTAAAAGTAGTCATGGCAGAGTTTCTCTCCCCATCTTGCCGGTTTTCCACTAAGAAAAATCAATTTCCCCTCTCCTCGAAATTGGATATTCTTCACAGTCATTCAATAAAGGGAATGTAGAAAAAGTTAATACCACTATAATGCTCAATGCTTCTCCTAAAAATTGACACCACTCCCCACACACGCGCATTTTCTTTCTCTTTACTCTCAATGTTAATACTTGCCTTTGTAGTCCATCTGCTGTGTTCTCGAGAATGAAAACCAACACGTAGGACAGGACACATAGAAAACCTGACCATTCTGATGTCAGTAAGCTGCTAAATTTGTGAGTGGCAGAGCCTTCAGATGGTCACAAACTCTGCATTCGAGTCTTCCAGCTAAGGACTATGACACTGTAAAGAGACAAGTCAACTCTCTCTGAATTCCTGATTCGCAAAAGTCGTGACCTTTAAAAAAAATAGTTATTTGTTAATATTTTTTAAAAGATAGAATACCTGCAGAACACTAAAATTTCTCATCTGTAAAAACAGAATAAGAATAGTATTTGGAGAGTTTGGAGGATTGAATGAGACAACATAGATTGTTTAGGCATACCAGAGATGTTAAATTAATGTCACTTCCCACGTTAGTCCTTTCAAGGACTGTCTTCTTTGCTACATGCCACATTATTAATTGCTGTTCTCTAGTAGAGCAGTCTAGCCTGATTCTACCCTTCCAATGCCTTTCAGTAATCTTTAACTTTGAGATAGGAATTATAAGGAATGAGTAGAATAGACACAAGTACCCAAGAATTGATGAAGTAAATAAAAACACTTTAATGTGAACCTGTTTCCTGATTATGTGTTGTCACTTAAATCAGATTTATTTGTTTATTTATTCATTTATTTATTTATTTGGTACAGTGTCTTGCTACCCAGCTCAGACTCATAGCGATCCTCCTGTCTCAGCCTCCCCAGTGTGTACCACCACACCCAGTTTTTCTGGCCAGCGCACCAAGATTCTGGGGCTGGAACAGCATAATGTAACAAGGATCAAACCCAGGTCCTTGCACTTGACAGGCAGGTGCTTGGACCACTGAGCTCTCTTCCCAGTCCTTCAGTCAGTTTTTAATGTATAGAAACAAATGCACAAACACACAGATGCACACATCCAACATTTGAAATAAGCATTTTTGTGTGGAGAATGTGTGCGGTTCAGTGTTCAGAGTGTGTGCTTAAATGTTTCCCTTTCTTTTTTTATTCATTTGTGCATTCATTTATTCACTGGACAGAAGTTTTGTTTTTTGTTTTTTTGTTTTTTTTTCAAGGGAAAGCACAAAAACAGCACACCACTCCCATAATTTGTGCCATCAAGTTTCCCACATTTGGAGAAATTTCAGGGGTCAGCACCCCCAAAGAGCAGTGGATGAGCCTTGCCCTGGGAAAACCAGCTTCGTGGTCCTGGTATCTCCCCTACCAACTAAGTACGGGCACAACTTTTTAAGCTCCAGATAAATACCAATTCCATGATGTGCTTAAGCTTTATTAAAATTAACACTGTATCAAGAAAAAGTCTAATTGAATATACTTTTTAGATTTTAATTTTTGTGCCCAAATTACTGCTGAAGCAGAGAAATGCCTGAGACTCTGCAATGGGTATTTTAAGTTTATTAATGCAAGTATTGTCTTTTGCATGCTTTAATCTAGGCTTTTTGAGTCCTCCACAAAACCTTTAAGTAGTATTAGCTTATATCAAATCTCTGAAACTATATTATGTGATTTTTATACACTATTAGTACTTTTTACTTTGCAATCTAATAAATCACTTTTAAACCTGCCTGTAACTTCTCCTTTACAAATATAAAAATGTTAAATTTTACCACAAGGTGGCTCTTGCTAGTCTCATGTGAGCAACTATCAAAACAAAATTGCACAGAGAATATATAATCCCAAGATTTTTGGGCAGAGTATGGTGGCCCATGCCCGTAATCCCAGAACTTGGAAGGCAGAGGCAGGAGGATTGCCATGAATTCAAGGCCAGCCTGGACTACAAAGTGAGTTGATGACCACCCTAAACCACACAGGGAGACCTTATCTCAAAACTTTTTTTTGAATGAACATTATTAAAATAAAGCAACTAGCTTTATTTTAGGGGAAAACTAAGAATATACATATATCAATTATTTCAATGGTGTTTATGCATGTGTGTGTGTGAAGCAGAAGACAGAGAGATTGTTTTTCTATTTTATTTGCTTATTTATAAGAGTCTTAAACCCCTGAGTAACTATAGTAGAATATGCAGAATATGACATCTGTTATAATTTGGTCTAAAATGACCCACAAGGAAGAAAAGGAAAAGAAAAAAGAGAAAATAAGGAAGAAATGAAAATAAAGTTTTGTACATAAAGAAGAGAAGAGGGGTTTAAGGGAAGGTAGGAGAATGGAAAAAAAAGTATCAAGATATATCACATTCAGATACAAATTCCCTATGATGAATGTCATCATTCTTATTACATATACCTAAACTATGCTAATAAACTGAATTATTTTTTCACAATGAAATAAATGCTCATTCAGAGGTGGATTTGGGGGAACGTGATTAGATTCTGGTCTTCTGAACTCTAATCAGAGTCACGCATCAGAGTCTTTTACAGTATTTTATGTATGACTACGTGTCATACGTATTAGTGGATTGCATTCATAGCTGAATGTGATGTTTGGAGATAGTCTGAACAGAAGACACATTCACGGAGGTATGTACTCTTTCCCCTGCAGCTTCCACTCTCTGAGTCTCCCTGGCTCCGTTCCTTCTCTCTTTTCATGAGGTGGGTGACTTTGCTCTTCCATTCCTCTCCAACATGATGCTTCTGCCTTGGAGCCAAGTTGTGAATTACATCTTCTGAAACTGTGAGCCAATAAAACCCTGTTTCATTTAAACTGTAGGTGCCAAGTAGTTGGTCCCAGTGAGTGGAAGCTTGGAACTAGGAAAGTGGGATTGTTGCTATGTCTCTAACTAATCCTCTGGTTCAGAGTCTTTACAAACGGTTCATAGGAGTATGGAAAGTTTGGAGAAGGAGACTAATGAGAGCTTTAAATAATGTAAAAGTCTGATGAGTGCCTCTTATTAGAGTTCAGAAGACCAGCATGCTGGCAACAGTGCAGACAGTAAAGGCCAGGTTCATGAAGTCTCAGATGGGAATAAAGATTCTATTGGAATTGGAATAGAGGCTATGAGTATTGCATCATAAAAGAAAGAAAACCTTGTGTACACTGTATATGCCGCGAGATTTGTGGGAAGCTGAGTACAGGCTGACATTCTAATTTATCTGACAAAGGACGTTTCAAGGAAACAGACAATTCAGGCTTTGGCATGGATATTGCTGGCTGCTTTTACTTAGATTTACAATGAAAGTCAGAAGTAAATAAAACAGAAAGATTTAGAAGTGTACAGTTCAGTCAGATAAGAATCACATTTAAGGTCAGGGACAAAGAAAGTTATGTGTGAAGGGATTAGTGCCGTTAAAAAGAATCCAAGAACTTTGTACTGTGACAATATAAAAGGTACCTTAAAAGAATCTCAGGGATCAACCCAAACCTCACCCCTCTCATTCTTTTTTTTCCATAATTTTATTGAGAAACAAATAGCAATGAGACAGTTTCAAATCAAATTGGTAGGACAGTTTCAATAATTAACACGTTGCATACTCTCTTCCTAGTGGTTATTTGCTGTACAAGATGCAGACATGATATCCTATTTACAAACACTATTAGAACAAATCCCTCTATTCATTAAGAGAATGTAACT